TGAAGTAGGGCAGGAGGATGAACCATACAAGAAGGCACTGTCTTAATGGCCAAGGCTCTGCCCAGCTGGTGGGCCAGTCCTGCAAGACTGTTCTGAGGCTCTATGTGCACAGTGTGTTAAGCCCGTCAGTCCAGGGCCCAGAGGAGGAAGGTTTTACCCATCAGCCCTCATATCCAATTGGTTAAAGTTTCACACCCTGGGAGTGCACTCCACATGGCCTGGTGCCTGGCCTCCTTATCCCGTGGTGTATCCTGTCTGGTGTCAGTGCTATAGACAGAGCCCAGCCATGGCTAGCTCAGGACACAGAGCCAGAGCTGGACCCAGATAGGTGAGGCAGAGAACCCCTGCCAAGATGCTGCAAGAATGTAAATCTGGATAAGTTTATTTATTATTATTATTACTATTATTACTACTATCCACATCTCCATTATTTTCCCATTCGGAATGCAGTGATAGCACTCACAGAGGGAGTTACCCCATTTATTCCTAAACGTGTAGTACTTACATTCTCTTTCATTTGCTTCCATTAGGATCAAGCTAACAAAATCTTTGTGTATTATGAAGAGGTGGGGGCAGGAAACATCAGCTTCATGAAGAGATGCTACCTTCTGCTGTCCCAACTAGTCTTTCTATGGTAGCTTAACTTTCAGTGAGAAAAATGAAGACAATTTGATACTGTTTCTGAAGCCAGAATGCCTTCCTACTACCTTTGAAAAACAGCATTCACTCCTAGGAAGCAGTGAATGGAGCCTGGGAATTAGAGCGTCAGTGAGCCTTCTACGGCCTCTCCCACGTCCCTCTGATCTGCCTCAAAGCAACTTTTGTTCTTCTCCAAGCCCCTTCTTTAGGAGTAAGTTGTTCTTGTTCAACAAGGGGATTGAGAATGTTCTCCCCAGTCCCTAAAATTCAGACTCTTACTGGACCAAAAATAATATCAGTAGTAGTATAAGCATCTCCAGTGAGATACATAATTCTACAATTCTACCCACCTTCCCACGTGCAGTCAGTCTGAAAGTCAGTTGTAAGTGACCAGTTTGTGCTCCGAGAATGGTATCTAGGGACCTAGTTTCCCTTCCCCTCCTGCTCAGAGGACCTCTAATGGGAGCCAGGTGGAAAGTCCCTGGCCGGTGATGCTGAGCCATATATTGGGTCTGACACAGGTAACCGAAGACACCAGTTAGTTGTCATGATGATTATTCTGGGATGCTCTCAGCTTCAGGTAGGTCCTTGTCAAGTCACAGAATTGCTAGGTGCCCTTTGGAGGGATCTTCCCACCCTTCTCCTTGTCTAGATGTACTCGTGTTGTTATATCAGATTTCTCCATGAAATGCCATTTACAGTTAGCCGTTCATTTGTGTGCATACTGGTATTTTCTGTCTTGTAGTATTTAGTGACCTTTGCCCGGAGTTCAGCATTCTTGGCGGGCGTTTTTCCCCTTGGTCACAGAGGAACCCAGTATTTCTCCAGATCCTCGTGAGAGATGGGGATGAAACATCAGCAGCTGGGGACACAAAAATAACTAGGAACAAAATAGACACCCAATTCAGAAGAATACTGAAAAAGACTTTCTGCAGAAGCAGTTTGCTTTTGATGCTGAACACTGTATAGGATTCAATGATAAATTGGCTGTTACACATGGCTATTTTAAACAGGAAAAAGGGAAAGATGAGCATGTAATTTCATGTTTTAAACACAAACAACAGAGTTCTGAGTCTAGATTTTACTCTTAGATTCATGTGGATGATGACTATTACACTCTGAAATACCTGGGTATTCAGAATTGAGACTAGAAAAGCCTTCTAATGCAGTTCCCTTCCTAAATGAGACACAAATAAAACTTTCAGGCTTCACATACCAAAATGAGTCTAGTGGGTGGATGACAACAGTGCCTAAATTTCTGTTCATAATTTCACGGTGTACTTTTTTCATATTAAAAGTGAAGCTTCACTGATTGGAAAGCCAAGCTCACTGAGATACACAATGTCTTTGAGTGAACATTCCAAAAAAAGTGAATGTCTCCTTCTGGCATGGATTGTTCTTTCTTCAGCATTCCTGGCTGACACAGCCACAGTTCTTCAGTTCTGTGTTCTTTACCCACGAGGCGTTGAGCGGTCCCACCCAAAAGCCTTCATGCTACATTACCATAAAAGTCTGCCTTGTGTGTACCACCTAAAAAACAAAATAAATGGGCCACATTATTCCAAATAGCAGTCCTCCTCTCCTAGATGTAAGAAAACAGAACATGTAGCACTTCTCTGGAGTCTGGGTAGTACAGATAGGACGTTGATTTCCACAGTAAAGAAAGGCTCCTTGCAGTCTGCAAAGACTCCCATAATCTTTTTTTTTTTTTTTTTTGCTATTTTATTTTTTTCCTGAGGTATTTTAATACATAAAAATCTCAACCCTAAAGCTGTCTTTGAGATCAGGGAGAAATACTTAAACATTCCTGCATCCAGTTCATGATTCAGAGATTTATTTATAAGACTGTTGATTTTGGGACACCCAACTCTTGCATTTAAGCTGCTGAAGTGAGTCATGTTTGTGGGAGGTAATTACTACCAGAAAGTACAACGAACTTGTAAGCTTCTCTTTAAAATGTCCGCTCACAATCTACAATTACTGCAAATACCAGGCTACCAGGACTTTGGCTGTGTTTTACGGCTGTGTACATTTATTACAAGTGCATTAGGCAACACCCAAACATACTTTTGTCGCAGAGGGTTTCTGGTAAGAGAAATGATTCCTTTTATCAGCATTGGTGTAGACTGCTGGTAGGACTGGAAAGATATAACATCAAGATATCCCTTCCATTTGTGTTACCGTTAAAGATCAGCTCTGACTCACAGGAACTGCGGCAGGCCCTCACCTCCTTCACTTCTCAGTGCCTCGCTTGGACTGATGCTGTGTCCTCTGCGAGACTCCCTGGCTCCCCACTGGTGAAGCGCACACCCTCTGGCCAGTGGCAGAGTTGGTAACATCTTGTGAATCACAATACCAGAGTCTCAGGACATTCTACAGTTCATGAGTTGGTGTTGGAAAGGAGAAAGAGGAGGGACCTGGGTGTTTAGAACTGCCACATTGGGGTCGGGGGAAGCACCAGGAAGACAGAGCTGCAGTATCCCAGGACCGACCCGGCTATGGATGGCTTTACCCCGCCTCTGCTTAACACAGCCCTGCTGAGACCACGGCCTCCCCACCTGCCCTGACACTCTCACCTGCTGAGTTAAGCACACTGAGGCCTGACCCACTGTACATGTGTTGTTTCAGGCTTCTGCGATCCAGTTGTCTTCTTGTACCTGTTCTCATTCATTCACTCATTGCTTGTTTACTCATCATTAATTTAATAACAACTCCCTGTGTGTCCTCGATGTGTCATTCATTGTGCTGGTGCTGAAACATGTCTGTGGATGCAACCCAGTCCCTCTCTTTCAGGATCATTCTGCCTGGTCAGCAGACAACCGTAAGAAGTGATAACTTCAAAAGTGCATGATAAGTGCTACATAGGGGTGATCAGGTGCTATAGGAGCAAGTCATAAAGGCACTGTCTGACCTGAGAGAACAGAAGAAACTGCTCGGGAGTGCCTTCATTTAAGTGAAGACCTGAAGGAAAGGCTAGAGATGGTCGGGAGACTTACTGGGGATGAAAATAAGGAGACGCAGCAATGTATTTTATGCAGGAGGAAAAGAACAAGATGTGAAGATTCAGTTCAAGGAAGCATGCTAAATTCACAGGGGATGGAAACAGCTGTAACACAGTGGTGCTAGAAGAGCCGGACAAGCAGAAACCAGAATGTGAAAGCCCTTGTCTGCGTGCTAAGGAGGCTGAATGTAATTGGACCTGTTTCCTGTGGGAGCAGGCACCTACCAAATGCTTTATATACTGTGTCTAACCATTCAGGCTTAATCCTGGGCAAGTTAGTATGTTCTCTACCATTTGGCTAGCTTCTCTGATGTACCACAATGAGCCGATACCGCAGCTACGCAAGTGCATTATTTGGGTCCTCTGACTTGTGGCGTAGCCCATCATTAGAGACACACACTGCTTCTCCATCTTTATGATCCATCTAGGCCCACAGAACACCCATATCTATCCTATCTTGCATATTTTCATGGACATATCTCTTTTGGCCGATATTAACTCCAAAATTAAGGTCTGGAACATTAAACTCTATGAGCTTACCATTCACTCAACAAATATCTACAGAATTTCTATATGCTAGAAAATATTCCAGGAAATGTACCAGTGACCGAAGCTGAGTCTCCACCCTTATGGAGGTGACATTGTAGTGGAAAAATACAAAAAAATATAATATTTATGGAAAATTGTTTTAAGATAATGATTGATATATAAAGAAACCTCAATATTTAAGGGCTTCCCAGAGAGTATTATTCTGTGTACTGTATATATTTCACATAAACATGAATGCACACATATATATTAACATATACACAAATGTAATAGGCACGTGCTATTGTACTAATTATATATCAACACGTTCTCTAATGACTTTAAGATTCCATAGTAGAGAATTCATATACTTAGTTGGAACTCATACTTAAGTAAGTAATGTTATTGTCACTTATAAATTTTAAGTCTCAGGAGTTGTTTTGAGTTTTAGTTTACCAAATTCAATGTATAATTTTATTTTTAGCCTTATAGTGTAATATGCTTTCAAAATAATATAACTCAGTACATACCTGAATTAGCATTTTTCCTTAAGAAAATAGTAAACACTTTTCTATTTTTATTTTATCTTAATTTTCCACTTGGAATTGTAAAAAACATTGGTACATTCTTGTGGACAACAGTAAAGTGTTTGACAGGGAGTGCAGAACCCTGTGACACCCAAGAGTGTCAGAAAAGCCTGGGGAGCAATATCTGAAGAAATCGAAGCTGAGTTTTCCAGATTTGTAAGATGACGTGAGTCCTCAGATTAAAAGTACACCAGAAACAAGCAGAATGAATAGGTACAACATCTTGAAATTGAAGATCAGCAAGAATTAAGACAAAAATCTTAAAAACTGTTGGAGACCGAAGATTCTCCACAAAGGGGCACACAGTGGGTTGATATCAGACTTGAAATTATTGCTGTAGATGGAAGACAGAGATACATTTAGGAGTTCAGAGAAACTAACTGTAAAACGCAAAGCTGATCTGTTCGGTCTGATTGTTTCATATAGAAGGTTTTGTCCCTTTCCTAGAAAATGCACTTCACAGAACTACACAATATTTCCAAATACTGTTCATGTTCCAGATAATAAAGGAAAACTTACTACATTTTCAAGAATTATTAACATATTGATTTGATTAATAAGTTATTAAAGATAGTAAAATATACTAAAAATGTGGAAGATATAATAAAGAATAGAAAAACAAATCATAGAAGGTACAAACAAAACAAAAAACAGGTCATCTGAAAAAAAGAATAACAAAAGAATAATCAAGGAAAAGCAAAAAAGCACAAATTTATATTATGATCAAAACATGGGTATTTTGATTTGGACTTTTAAAATCACAGAATATTACTATGAACAAACTTATGCTCCAAATTCAAAAATTAAATAAAATAATTTCTACTAAAGTTAATTTAATGAAAATTTTGATAACACAAACAGTTTAATAGCTGTTAAAGAAATTAAATCAATGATCGAAATTCTCTTCCCCACCAAAAAAGATACCAGGTCCTGATTTTACAGCTGGGTGTTTTGTTTTCAAGATGCACATAATGTCTTCTTACACATTTTATTTCAATGAACTAGAAAAAAGAAAAGGCCACATAAATTGTTTTCAAACTTAATGTAATCTTCAGATAAAAAAGAAAACTAGATTTGTTTCATTTATGAGCCCAGAAGTAAAATATTCTAAGTAAAATAATAGAAAGCTAAATTCATCAGTGTATGTTCAAGTTGAGTCTTATCAGGAATAGAAGAACAATTTCAGGAGGAATTACAGTGTCTTTTGATATAATATACCATATTAAGAAAAGCTTTATGGTTACTCACTAAATCCTGAAAAAGCATTTGATTTAAAAATCTACATTCATCATGATTTTTATAGGATCTTAAACAGGGAATAGAAGGAAGTTTCTTTCCCTAATATTTACAGCTGAGAATAATCGAGCTTGTTGGTAAAACTTCACCTTTAAAATCAGAGACACTACAGAGATGTTTCATGTTGCCACTTCTACAATGTACTAGCAGTCATATTCTCAATGAGAATAAAGTGACATAAAAAGGTAAGAGCTATACAAATTGGAATTATTAGGCATATTTAATTACACATAAAACCTAAGAGTAGATATTATTTCTGATAATGAAACAGTGTGAATTTCTATAACCAGGTTGAGAATTGACCCATAGTTTTGGATACAAAGCCCAGAATCATCAGTAACACACTTTGAATATCAGTCAAAGAAGTAACACAAGTGCATAAGACTATCATTTACCTAAGAATAAACCTGATAAAATTGTAGAAGCAAATTTAAAGAATAGAACGTCATTAAAATAAAGTCCCAAATAAATGCAGAAGTTCTGAATAAAATCCACATTTCTGGATAAGAAGACTCACTATAACAGATGAACATTCTTTCCAAATTAATTTATAAATTCAATGCAGTTAATTTAAAATTCTACCAGAGTTTTCTATACAACTTGATAAGATACTCATATGGTAGAGAAACATACATGAATAAAGTGGGGAAAAATTAATAATTTTTGTACAATTATAGTGATCAATAAAAGATTTTGACATTGAGATTTTGGAGATGACAGGAATAGGTTAGAGATCTCAGTTCCTTTCATAGAAGAAAATATAATATCTGTCAGGAATTGCATTATAGATAAGTAGAGTAATAAAATGGTGGAGGGCAATTAGTTACCCATATGAGAAAAGATATGTTTTAATTTTTACCTCATTCACAAGGTTAGATTTAAAACTAAATGTGCAGAGCAGCTTTTTAAAAGTTTAGAAAATTGCATAGGAACCCTGGAGGCAGAGGTCTGAAACAGTATACAAAAGCAACTATGGATGGAATGGATATATTTGACTTCATCAAAATGTACCATTTCTTTATTTAAAAAGATACCACAACATTAAGATAAAATATTGACTGAAAGAAAAGATTTACAATGGCTAATACAGTATCTGACAGGATAAATCGCCAGCAAATATGATTGCCTACAAATTAAAGAAATAGCTCAATAAAAATAGGCAAAGTTCTATTAGATGGAATTTATTGCATAGTGACCAATAAACATGAAAAATTATTCAACTTTTGTAGTCATCAGAGAAATGCAAGATAAAAATAAGCTGTCACTTCATATTATAAGATTAGAGAAATATTTAAATACTGACAGTACCAAATGGTGTCTTGGATGTGGATCGAGGAGAACTTTCTTTTAAGTGTGTCTGTTGGGAATGGTAAATTGTACAAAATATTCGGAGAATAATTTGCCAATACGTAGTAAGGCCAAAACTGCATAGCTGTGCATCAGCAAACCAGCTTTAGACTTGCATACTTCCTAGACAGTGGTGGTAAATCTATGGCAGGCATGCCACGGCAGGCTGTATCACTGAAAGCTCTAAGAGGTTCACCTTCCCTCTCCTAGAGGTACGTTTGCTGTACATGAAACCACTTGAATACCAATCAATAAGAGAATAGGTAAGCAAATTATAACAGATGCAAGCAAAGAAAATTCTGTAACACTTTAAAATGAATGGAATAGAGGCATACGTTTCAATATAGATCAGTCTAAAAATAGAAGAGAAAAAGTTATGCAGTGATACATAGAAAAACATAAATGTATATAATTTATAATCCTTCCAAACAGAGCTATATATTATCATGAAGATCTCGAAGTATGTAGTTTATTAGCTCATTTTGTGTTGCTATAACAAAATACCTAAGGCTGGGTGACTTACAAAGAAAAGGGATTTATTTGACTCTGATTCTGCTGCCCAGAGTTAGCATAACCCTGGCTTCTTGGCAAGGGCCTCCCTTGGCTGTGTCACGGGATGCTGGAGAAACACAAGAGGAAGTGGCTGTGTGCAGAAGAGACCAAGCACCTGGGTAGCCTCGCTTTATAACAACCTGATCTCACAAGAACTCAGACATTCCTGTCAGACCCGGCTCACTTTCAAGGCCAATATTAATCTGCTCTTGAGGATTGCCTATTACTTTTCCACTAGGCACCACCTCTTAAAGTTTATACCATCTCAGCACTGCCATCCTGGAGAACAGGAGTCCAGCAGATTAACTGCTGAGGGACACACCACACGTAAACACTTCTGGGTAGCTCTGGGTGGATCATGGGTACGTAAACTTGGGGACTATATCTTGTTCTGAACATCCCCTCGCTGGTTCTTTCCCTGCTTTCTGTTCCCAGCTGCCGTGAACTGAGCAGCTTTCCTCTGCCTTTCTATCTTTTGCCTCGGAACCAGCTGACCACGTACTGAAACCTCTGAAACCATGAGGTGAAATAAATTTCTCCTCCTTTCATGTGTGGTGTCAAGTATTCCGCCCCACAGACTAGAAGCTGACAGAGTACACCCTACCTCTAACATTGCTGCCCTGGGGACCAAGCCTCCAACACACGCATCTTTGTGGAGGAACCTTAGCTTCAAGATTATTGAAAACTTATAGAGAAATGCCTAGATGATAAATTGTGTTTAATCTTGACCAATTTCAGTTTGTAGCATAGCAGCATCTAGCCAGTCCCTAGGCATGGCTAGCAGGCATTCACTTGTTCCTGGAGCATCTTGTACATAGCTTTAGGGACCTAAGGTGGGTAATAAGTACTCTGTCCTCAAAATATCAGGAATCTGTGCTCTGATCAAAGATTGCTGCTTCTGATCAGGGAAGTATAGATCCAGAGATGGTCAGCTATTTTTGTTCCACCCTTCTTGCATTTTTGCAAGACCAAATTGTTCAGGTAATTCATTTCCACAGCATTTAAAGCATTTTGTCCTACCCTCCACCTTCATTTCCCCCCGTTTTAGGGACCAAAATTAGATTAGATTAGAAAGTCAACGTGATTACCTCAGGAAGATTAGGTGAAACTGGAAAAGAAGAAGTAAAATGATCTCTGTATATATCGTTTTATGTGTAGAAAACCCTAAGGATATCACAAAACTCTGTTAGACCCAATAAAAGAATTCAGCAAAGTAGTAGGATACAAAGTCAACAAATAAAAAATCTATTTTATTTCTATATTAACAATTAAAACTTCAAGGGGAACGTATGAAAATAATTTCATTTACAATTTCAGCACAAACAAAATGCACATAGGCATTCATTTAATCAAGGAGAGAATTGCATGATGAAAACTATAAAACATTGCGGAAAGAAGTTAAATAATAAATAAATGAAAACATCTCATATTCATTTATTGGAAGACCATGTTATTTAAATGTCATTATTACCCAAACCTACAGAGTCAATGCAATTTTTGTCAAAATGATGTGTTCTGTGGGAATAGAAAAATCCATCTAAAAATGTGACTGGAATCTCAAGGGACCCCAGATAGCCAAAACAATCTTGAAAAAGAAAATGAATCTCAAGCACTCATACTTCCTGATTTCAAAACTTTCTAAAAAGATCATAATCAAGACAACATGGCACTGATATTAAAAAAAAAAAAAAAAAAAGACACGCAGACCAAGGAAACAGAGACCCCAGAAATAAACTCTCACTCACACGGTGCTATGGCTTTCATGTCGACTGTCCCCAAGAGTCACTCCTTACAGGTTTGGTCCAGAGGAGGGCTGCAGTTGGGAGGTGGTATAACCTTTAGGAGGTGGGGCCTGGGGGAAGGTCCTCAGGACATGGGGGTGTGCCCTGGAGAGGATGTGAGACCCCCCCTTCTCCACTTTTCCCTCTATTTTCTGCTTGAGATGTAAAAGCTCACTCTTTCACACAGTCCTGCCTCATGCACTGTCTTCACCACAAACCCACGCCAATGGGGCTGCCCAATCTTGGGTTTGAATTTTAAGAACTATGAGCCCAAATACACCTCTCTACACACCATAAATAGCCTGTGTAGGGTATTTCATTATGACAGACAGCTGCTTAACATATGGTTAAATGATTTTTGACAGTGGTACCCAGAGCATTCAA